TGATGAGTGAGTCTGAGTGACTGACTGAGTCTGAGTGATGAGGGAGTCTGAGTGATGACTGAGTCTGAGTGGGTCTGAGTGAGAGGAAGTGAGGTGGTGTTATGTTCTCTCTCTCTCTGTTCCTCCGGCGCGGCCCGCCAATAATTACTCGACGCGGGGCTCCCCATATGTGCATTTCATTATCTTGGTACGTCTTTCCATTGATATCTGTCAATGAGCGCCTGTGTGCGAGGGCGAACCGCTCGCTCGAGACATTCCCACAGTCTGCAAGCATGAGTGCGACCAATAGCAAATCTGAGAGCGACTGATTCTGAGTGTGAGTTAATCTGGGTGCGATTGAGCCTGGGCTTGAGTGGGTATGCGTGTGAGTAAATATGAGCGCGAGTGCGTCTGTGTGCGAGTGGGTCTGAGTATGGACGAATCTGAGTGTGAGCCAGTCTGTGATTGAGCGGATCGTAGCATGATGAGTCTGAGCGTGAGTGAGTCTGGGCTTGAGTGGGTCTGAGTGTGAGAAACAGTGTGTGTTAATGAATCTGAGTGCGAGTGAGCCGAGTGTGATTGGGTATGGATGTGAGGCAGTCTGAGTGTGAGTCGGTCTGCGTTTGAGCGGACCGAAGGATGATGAGTCTGAGCAGGAGCGAGTCTGAGTATGAGTGGTTCTGAGCGTGAGTCTGGGTGTGGGTAAGCTTAAGTATGGGTATGAGCGAGTCTAAGTGCGAGTGAGCCTGCGTGTGGCTGGGTCTGGATATGAATGAGTATGAATGCAGAAGCGTGAAGGAGAGCGGGGGGCGAAGGAGAGTGAGGCGGAAGCGTTTGAGTAAAACCTGAAGTTTTGGAACATCGAACCTCGATCGTCTGGCCCTGGTTACTCGAAAGCCCACATCCTCCTCCTCCTCCTCCTCCCCCTCCTCCTCCTCCTCCTCCTCATCATCATCATCATCCTCCCCTTCCTGCTTCTGCTCCTACCGTGTTCATGCTGTCCTCCGTCTCCTCTTCCTCCGCCTCCTCCTGGTCCTCGTTTTCTTCCTCCTCGCTTCCTCCTTCTATTCCTCCTCCTCCTCCTCCTCCTCCTCCTCCTCTTCCTCCTCCTCCTCCTCCTCGGGGGTGCTGAAACCAGCGGATCGCCTGAGACATCCTCCCAACATTGCTCCGAAAACGACAGATGCCCAGCATCATAACGGCCAAGCCGCCAGAGACATCCCCGCACACTGGGCGTGGACGTCCTCCAACTTTGCTCCGGCGGCGAAACATGTTGAAGAGAAAATGGCCAAACCGCCTGGGACATCCCCACAACACCCCACGAAAGGGGCCGAATGAAATACCACCCCGCCGCTCCCCTTAGTGCTGAAACAAGCGAATCGCCCGAGACATCCTCCACATCTGCTCCGAAAGCGAAACATGTTGGAAGAGAAAATCGCCAAACCGCCTGAGACATCCCCACAACACCCCGCGAAAGGGGCCGAGTGAACTACACACCCGCCGCTCCCCTTAGTGCTGAAACCAGCGGATCGCCTGAGACATCCTCCAAGCCTGCTCCGAAAGCGAAACATGCTGGAGGAAGAAATGGCCAAACCGCCTGAGACATCCCCACACAATCCCGCGAAAGGGGCCGAGTGAAATACCACCCCGCCGCTCCCCTTAGGAGTGCTGAAACCAGCGAATCGCCTGAGACATCCTCCAAATCTGCTCCGAAAGCGAAACATGTTGGAAGAGAAAATGGAGGACGGAGGAGGACGGAGGATAGAGGAGGGAGGAGGAGGAGGAGGAGGAGGAGGAGGAGGATGTGGCGCGTAGGCAGGAGGATGAGGGGGAGAAAAAGGACGCGTACGAACAGCAACAGCAGGAATTGGAGCGGAAGGAGCGGGAGGAACAGGAGGACCAGGGGCAGGCGGAGGAGGGGAAATGAAGGGACTACGACGATGACAGGAAAGACAACGATGAAGAACGACTCGGATTCAGAAAAGTGGCCCGTGCTGGGGCGAGAGCGCCACTCTGTTTTGCAGGAGCAAGCGCCGATCTGAAAACGATGCCTACGCTGCAGCGGGAGCACCATTTTGAAGCACCGGAGGCAACTGGATTGTGAAACACAACAGAAACATTTTTCGAAATCCTGTGTGGATCCCAAAACAGCACGCGGAGAGTGTCAAACATCTTCTGGACGGACTCCGGGGGGAGAGGAGAACAGTATTCCTCTCGCTTCGCGGGGTGCACGTCCGGAGCACGTACAGTCACGTCGTCGCGGAGCCTCTTGGGAGCCTCTTGGGGGCCTCCTGGAGGCCTCCTGGGAGCTTCCTTGGGCCTCTTGGGGACTTTTTTGGGGCCTCTCCCCCTTCACTCCTTTTCATACTCCCTCCCCATATTTCTTTCCAGCGCCGGCTCTAATCATGGGCGCCGCTGTGACCAACTTCCACCTGGCTGGCGCTGCGCCGCAGTTCGCGCAGGGTGGAAAAATGACATTACACTCCAGTCGCTGTGTGGCCTTTGGGGGGCTTCTTTGGAGCCTTCGGAGGCTTCTTGAGGACATCTTGGAGGCCTCTTCGGGTTTTTTGGGGGCCCCTTGGGGGCCTCTTGGGTGCCTCTTGGGGCCTCTTGGGGGCGCCTTTGGCTGTATTGGGGCGCTTTTGCGCCGTTTTGCCCCTTCGGAGGCCGTCTTGGGGGCCTCTCGCGGCCGCCTTGGGGCCGTCTTGGGGTCTTCTTGGGCCGTCATAAGGGCCTCTCGGACCGTCTTGGGGGCCTCTTTGGGCCGTTTTGGGGTTCTGTTGGGCAGTATTGGGGCCCTCTTGGGGGCTTCTTGGGTTGTTCAGGAGCGAGTTGGGAAGCGGCCTGGACCGCAAAGGCGAGAACGCTAAAATCTTACCAAACCAAAAGGAAGTCAATGATTTGGGCTTCTGGAGGCGCAGTTGTGGGCGCTCTTGGGGCCCTCTTGGGCCGTCAGTGGGGCTTGTTGGGCCCTCTTGGGGCCGTCTTAGACCGTCTCGGGGCTGTCTTGGTCCGCGCAGAGCCCATCTGGAGCCGTCTTGGCACCCTCTTGGCCCTCCAAGAAGCCCAAGAAGTCGAAATCATGGATTTTCCATCGGTTTTGGTAGGTTTTTGAGCCCCGGGAGGGGGGGGGGGGGGCACTTTGGTTTGCTCCTGTGGCGCAGCTCCCAGAGGGGGGGGTAGGGGGGAGACATAATTAATAACACAATGCGAGATGTGGCAACTATGCAATCATTGGATACATTGGGTACGTTGCATTATCGCCTCCGCAGAAAACTCTGCAGGGTGTTTCAGAGCACGTTCAGTCCAGTCGTTGTGGGGCCTCCTGGGAGTCTCTTGGGAGCTTCTTGGAAGCTTCTTAGGGTTTTTTTTGAGCCTCTGGGGGGCCTCTTTGGAGCCTCTTGGGGCTTCTTGGGGACGTTTTGGGCCGTCTTTGGGCGCTCTTACGCCGTCTGGCCACTTCGGAGGCCACTTTGGAAGCCTCTCGCGGCGCCTTGGGGCTCTCTTGGGGTCCTCTGGGGCCGTATCGGGTCTTTTTGGGCCGTCTTGAGGGTTTTTTTTGCCGTTTCGGGGCCCTCTTGGGCCGTGTTGGGCCCCCCTTGGAGGCCTCTTGGGCCGTTTGGAGGCCTTTTTGGAGGCTGCTTGGGCCGTCATGGCCTTCTGAGAGCCAAAAAAGGCGAAAACGTTGAAATTGTCCCAAAACTATCAGAGAATCAAAGGTTTTGGCCTCCGGAGGCGCTCTCGGGAGTCTTCTTGGGGGCCTCTTGGACTTTCTTGGGGGCCTCATGGGCCCTCTTGGGGCCATCTTGGGCCGTCTTGAGGCCGTTTTGGACTGTCTGGGGGCCATCTTGGGCCGTCTTGAAACTTTCTTGGGGCCCCAAGAGGCCCAAGAGGCCGAATTTGTTGATTTCTCATTGGTTTTTGATGTTTTTGAAGCCCAGAAGGGGTCCGCCACCTTTGGGTCGACGGAAGTGGCGTGGCCCCTGGGGGGGGTTAGGGGGGGAGACATAATAATGTAACACAATACAATACGTTGCAATTATGCAATCATTGGACACATTGGATACGTTGCATTATCGCCTCCGCAGAAAACGCTGCCGCTCAGCACGTCACCTCCGGACGTGGATTCTACAGGCTTGCGCCACATCCGCCGGTCCCTATATCTACGTAATGGCCTTCGGCCCATCCCGCCGCCGTGCCGTGGTTGTGGGTCATAGGCCTCTGGGATGTTCGTTGGGGTCTCGTGGGAAGCCTCTCGGGAGCCTCCTAGAGGCAGTTTTGATGCCTCTGGGGATCGTTTTGGGGCCTCGTTTAGGCATCTGGGGAGCCTCTTGAGGCCTCTTGGGGGGCCTCTTGGGGGCCTCCTCGGGGCTTCTTGGGGCCGGAGGCTCGGATTTTCGGTTCGCGTTCCCCTTCTTGGGCCCCTCTTGAGGCTGTCTGGGGGCCCTCGTGGGCCGTCTTGTGCGCCTCTTGGGCCGTCTTGGGCGCCTTGTGGGGCCGTCTTGGGGCCCACTTGGAGGCTTCTTGGGCCGTCTTGGAGTGGTCTTGGAGGCTTCTAGGGACGTTATAGAGCGGCGGAAGGCCGAAAAGGCGAGAATACCAAAATCCCCCACTGATTGTTTCAGAACATTTATGATTTGGCCTCTTGGAAGTGCTCTTGGAGGGCTCTTCAGCCGTCTTGGGGCTATTTTGGGCGTCTTGGAGCGATCTTTCAGAGACTCGGGGCCTTCTTGAACCGTCTTGGGTGCGTCTTGGGGCCCTCTTGGGTCGTCGGGGGACCCTTAATCCCCCCAGGCCTGGGGGGGGGGTCAAATTCCCAGTTTTGGGGCCCCGGGGGGGTGGGGGAGAAAGAATTTTTGGAGGGGAATCTCACGCGCCCAGAGACCCACGAGGGGTCGGCGGATCTGCGAAAGCCTTGGAAGTGTGCTCACGCGCCCGCGACCGCCGCTAAACAGGTAGACAAGATGCCCGCGCTCGCGGGCCAGGCGCTAAACGGTAGGTGATGTCGCATGCGAGGTAACCTCTTTTCTCTCCTCTCCACATCCTCCCAGCAGCTTGGCAGCGTGCAGCTAAACATCTGTTCAACTTTTGTGTTTAAACCAGCTGGAGGCGCAAAGTCCGGCCTCACTGAGAGGATCAGCTGGGATAAACATTGAGCAGTTGTTTGCATGGCTAATTAAACCTGTATATTCAGTCGGATCCGCAAAGGACGGCCTCACTGAGAGGATCGACTGTTTAAACGCAGATTTTTAACAGTTGAATTCGTTTCGCTTGTAACCCTTCGCTGTACGCTGCGCACTGGCGAAAGCGGTCTGGGTACATGCCCTAACGTCCTGCTCTTCCTCTTTCTCCTCTCGTTCCTCTTCGTCTCACTCCTCGACGACGACGACAACATTGACGGACGACGGACGACGACGACGACGTCGACGACGACGACGACGGGCGACGGACGACGGACGACGGACGACGGACGACGGACGATGGACGACGGGCGACGGACGACGACGACGACGACGACGACGACGACGACGACGACGACGACGACGACGGACGACGGACGACGGACGACGGACGACGGACGACGGACGACGGACGACGGACGACGACGACGACTACGACGACGAAGTCCAGCGGCCTGGCGGGTTGATGGCGTCGCCGCGCCGGTCGGCCGAGCTGCACGCAGCGGCTCCGAGGGGCCCCAGGGGGCACAGAAGCTGCCTCCGGCCGCCCTCTCCCTCCTCGTTGTCGTCGTCGTCGTCGTCCTCCTCGTTCTCCTTGTCGTCCTCCTCGTTCTCCTCCCCGTCCTCCTCCTCGTTCTCCTCGTCGTCGTCCTCCTCGTTCTCCTCGTCGTCCTCCTCCTCGTCGTCCTCCTCCTCTTCCTCCTCCTCCTCCTCCTTCGAGTTTTCTATCCGACTCGATGACGTACCAAGAGAATGAGATGCACATATGGGGATCCAAAGAGATGGGGTTCTTGTTATTGGCGGACCGCGCCGAGGGAACAGAGAGTTGATCTGTTTGCATAGGTGTGGACCAGGCCGTGGAGATGATTTCACAACTTGCCCATCGGCTTGCAGCGTCTGGTATGAAGTCGAAGCGTAAGGAGAGCAAGATGATGCCAGGCATGGGATTGGGGCCATCGCCGTCCTATGTTCTCTGCCAGCCATCCGGGCAGGAAGCGATGGAAATTCTTTTGGTGACCGAGACGGGTCTCCTGGGAACACGCTTCGATGCAGCAGCGTGCAGCGGTTTTGCAGCGCGGTTCTTCAAAATTGGCCGAGGTGGGTTTGCGTTGAGTTGGGCCTGTTGCACGCCAGTCACCGACGATCCGACGGCGCAGTTTCTGGCGGCTGGTCATCGGGCGCCTCGGTATCCCGAGAGGCGGCTGGGTCCTGGAGAATGGTCGAGGGTCGCGTCGAAGAGGCAGTCGCTAAACTAAAAGCGAGCAGGAGTGCATAAGAAGGACTGAAGGAAGGAGGGGCATGGGAACGTGGCCACTGCGTTGTTGGTTCAAGCTTCCGCAGTTGGTTGCAACTGGGAAGTCGCTGGCGACCCCGCCCTCTGCAAGCATCGAGATGGGTTGCTGCATGGCGTCCTACCGGTCGCAGGCTGGGGCATTGCCAGCTCGCCGGGGGGAGGAGGGTGGAGGGGGGGGAGGAGGAGGGGAGGAGGAGGAGGAGGAGGAGCAGGAACAAGAGGATGAGGAGGAGGAGGAGGAGGAGGAGGAGTAGGAGGAGGAGGGGGAGGAGGAAAAGGAGAAGGAGGAGGGGAGGCAAGAACGAGAAAAAGAGGGGGTAGGGGACGGGAAGGTTGGACGATGAGGGGCAATTAGTCGGAAGAGAGATGCGAAAGAGGAGGAAGGAGGAAAGAGGAGGAAGGAGAAAAGAGGAGGATGAGGAGGACGAGGAGGAAGGGGGGGTGAGGAGGAGGGAGGAGGAGGGATTGGAGGCAATCTCCAGTTGACATCCCGCCCCCTGCCCCCTCCCCGCCTCCCGCCCTGCCCCCCCTCCTTGATCCTGACCCCCACGACAATTTCACAACATGAATACTACTCTCCTGTCTCCCCTAATGACGTCCGGAAGATATTCGCCCACTCCTCTGCGCATTGTTTTCTACACACAGGATTCCCGGGAGTTGGGTTTTCGCTGGGGCTTTGGTGTCAAAATGCTGTTCCCGCTGAAGCGTTGGCCTCATTTTTGGGCTTCCGCTCGTTCCGAATCGCGCTCCCGCTGCAGCGGTGGCCTCATTTTCCGCGTTTCCGCTCGTTCCGATGCGTGCTCCCGCTGCAGATCTGGCCTCATTTCCGCGCTTCCACTCGTTCCGAGTCGTGTTCCCGCTGCAGCGCTGGCGACATTGTTTCCAGTGCCATGCCACGGCATGCAACGCAATGGTAAGCGGTGTTCCTGTACGATGCCACGCCTTCAGCTGCAATGCTAGGATATGCAGTGCTTGACTACGCAGTGTGACGCCATGCTATGCCATGCTACGTTTTGATCTTCAACGCCATGCTATGCCATGTTCTCTTCTGTGCCGCTGTGCGATGCCTCTTTTTGCGCTGCAATGCTTTGTTATGCAACTCTTCACTACACAACGCAACGCCATTCTATGCCATACTACGCTCTGCCGTGCTCTTCTACGCTCTGCTACGCCGTGCTCTACGATGCATCGCGCACCCTCGGGATCATTGCCCTGCTCGATAGCCGACAGTGCGAATAGAGAGGAGATCTGCGCCATGGCAAGGGATGGGAGGGACGGGTAGGACGTCAGAGATGACGCGAGCGCACCAAGCTTGCCCTCACCCCCCCTCCCCTCCTCCCGCCCCTCTTCCGCGCTCTCCCTCTTGTGGACTTATGGACCTCCGGCTGCCCGGGTCTGGGGTCCGGGGTCCGGGGTCCGGGGTCCGTGTCTGGGGTCCGGGGTCCGGGGTCCGAGGTCCGGGGTCCGGGGTCCGGGGTCCGGGGTCCTGGGGTCTGGGGTCCACCTTGAGACTCCAAGGTCGATCTATAGTGCGGGGTCGAACTATAGATCGACCTGGCACTTTCCTTGGGTCGCACTATAGTCCAACCCATGATTTTTGGCCAGGTCGTACTTTTCTTCGCTCGCGCATTGTTAAGGATCCCCTGAGTGAGGGGGGCATGCGTCCCCTGAGCGAGGGGTATCGGCTGCATCACATTGCGCGCATGTTACAACATCCCGCAGCTGCGAAGGCTCGAGGGCACATAGCGCTACTCTTGCTTGCGCGCACTGGGGGTGGGCAATGGTCAAGGGCAAGACGGAGGTGAAGATACGGGCTTCTTCTGTGACAGAGGAACAGTGGAAGCCGCTCGTGAAACAGCACATTGATCTCATCGAAAAATGCCAACTGCAAGGGGGCATAGATGACTTCATGAAGAACAACATGCCGTTTCTCTTGCCGCTTGCGCAGCTCACCACACGCGTCAAATGGAAGAACCTCCAGAACGTCGTGTTGAAGCAGAAGCCGAACATGCACCAGGAAGAGTGTAGGCGTTTCTGCCAGGAGGTGGCCAACGCTTTCAGCCATGTTTGCAACAAGTTCTACATCGCCAAGACGGGGGGGAAGCTGGAGGCGCACACAAAAATGCTTGGGGTGGCAATGGGGCTGCAGCCTGGCAGGGCAAGCCCAAGCACAGGAGAGAGCAAACAACGCGCCGACAGCAGCTCCGACATAGAGATGAACCCTCCAAAATCTTCCACGGCCGCCGCGTCGTCCAGCGCAGATGGGGGCAGCAGGCGCAATGTCATCAAGAACGCCTTCGGCATCAGCCCGACTCCGAAACCGGCAGGGAAGAAACAGAAGGTTGCCACGTGGAGCCCGATGGTGGTGTTCTTGTCGCAGGAGGACGTCGAGCTCGCTGACCCGCCCGCCGCGGCCCCGAAGGAGGATCGGAGGGGGCGGGCAGGGTGGGAGGGGGAGGGGAGCAGTTTTGATTTTTCACGGCGTAACCGAACCCCTTCGGGAGGGGAGCTCGGGAGGGGCAAGTGAGAGACCCGCCCCAGGATCCCCTTGCCACGTATTTCGATTTCAACTCCGAGCCGATGTGCATGGTGATGAAGTTCGCAGACAGGGAGGAGCGGGGAACACTGACGAAAGGAGGCGATGGTTTCTTGGATGCCGTGTTTCCCGACGGCAGGACGGAGAAGACGGAGCAGCCCAACGCCCACCTGGCAGCAAGAGCGGCAGCCGCGCAGGCGAAGGCGAAAGCGTGCAAAAAAGGGAAGCCAGCAGGACATGTAGTGGCAAAGAAGCCTGCAATGAGAAAGCCCGGTGCAGCCGCCGCGAACACGGAGACGGACCAGGACGATGAGGGGGAGGAGGAAGAGCAGCTGGAACCCGATGAGCCCGTGGATGCTGCAGATGAGCCCTCGGTCGGCGCCGGGCCCCCCGCTGGCCACGCCGACCGCGGGTACAGCGTGATGTACTACAAGAGGGACCACTCTATCGGGTTGAAGCGGACGCACGGTGAGAAGAACCAGTTTGTGAGTTTCGGCGGGAAGAAGTACAAGGACACCTTGGACGAGGCCACGCTCAGGGAGATCGGCGCAGAGCTGAAGAAGGCCTTGGTCGACGGCACCGTGGCTGACACCAAGGAAGCTGCTAAGGCGGAGGCCGAGCGCTTAGTGGCACAGCGCTTGGGCGACTAATCGCATCCATCCTCATCATCGCATCCATCCTCATCATCATCCTTACCGTCTTCATCGCCATTGCCATCGCCATGCCCGTTGGCAGAGCGCCCTCTCCAGTGCTAGACGACACCCCCTCATCGCAGGGGCGCCCCTCCGTGAGGGGGCCGCGCGATGGATTGGCGAGTGATGGAACCCCTTAAGAGGGGAACCCCTTTAAGAGGGGCTTCAGCACACTCGCGATAAGACAGGGCAACGGCCCCCTCCGAGAGGGGACCCCTCGGGGAGGGGATCAAAGGTGCGGCAGTCTGCTTACTCAGTAGGTGTGTGGCATTGCGTTTCCTCCTCGTTCCATCCCTCTCCCATTTGCTTTCATGTTCTTCATCCGCAACCGTTCGACAGAG